CAAGGATTTTTGCTGAAAAACGGAACCTGCACTCCCTCACCGGAGGACCTGCAGGTGGCTTAGATATTGTCAGATTAGTCATACGCACGCACGCCGAACCACGCAGAGAAGAGGTAAAACCTAGTCATTTCAACGGGAAGCAGCATCACAGTGTCTACCTGCATCGTGAAGGGTGCTCTATGGTGATGTCGTTGTGCAGATGCGACCTCGTCTCTGCCAGGAGGAGGAGGAAGCCCGCACTGCCCGAGAACCAGGATCCCCGCAGCCACCCAGAGGCCCGGGCCCCAGCCGCCCCCCCCCCAAAAGGGACAAACATCCCCCCAGAGGGCGGTAGATGGCGGCCCCAGCCGGAACGCCTCGCAGTCTCGGGGCCCAGGTCCCAGCGGGCCAAGACAGACAACCGCCGACCGCACCGGGCACCGCTCTCCGAGGCGGGTGCAGCGGGCAGCCCAGACCCCCAGCGCCCGGGGGAAACCCCCCCTCCGACCCGGACGGCACCCAGGGGGACCGGATCCCCCAGACTGCACCCCCCCGACCCGGGCCAGCACCGCCTCCAATGCTCCGGCCCCACACACCCGACACCAGGGCGCCCGCACCACTGCCAGTCCCCCCACACACGCCCCTCCCTCCATCCCACACACACTCCGACTCCCAAACGTACCGACCCCACACACACAAACTAACCCACCCCAACCCCACACCCACCCAGATGCTCCTACCCCCACCTACACACACACACCAGCCAAACCCACCACCCATCCCCCACACAACCCTCCCCTCCTGCACAGCCCGCCTTCCACCAATCATCGCCACCCACTCTATCAAACACCAATCCTACCCACACCAACCCCCCCACACCCGAAAGCCCCCCCCCCCCTCAAACCCGCGTCCACCCGCACTCCCACACCAACCCAAAACATGATTAGCCTTCATTTTCTACTCACCCCCATGCTGAACAACACTCTGGAGTACTTTTTTGATATCTCAAATAGATCTGGAGATCTGGGAGGCTTCTTGCTGTCTGCTGACATTCAAATAATGGAGGTCTATGGCGCCCGAGGCAGAAAGGTCCATAAAAGTCCACAAAAAACGTGTCAATATTCCTCCATACTGCTCGTCCAATGTATTCCAAGTGTCCTGAGTGGGTAGCGTCCATAATTTACTCGAAACGAAGTCATTTAGAATGTTTTTAGAGCATAAACAGTAGTGAATAGGATTTCCTAAAAGCGCGCGCCTGCGAGTTCACGAGCCTACGGAAACTGCAGCAGACCAAACCAGATGAAAGTGCGCATTCAGCTCGGAAAAGAACTCATGCTCTTCCTCAACACTGAAGTCCTCAGACATTTTTCTTTCGTTGTTTCTTTCTTTGCACAGGTAAACAGCACATTTCTTCTTCTACGCTTGCATTATCAAGAGCAGACGCTGAATGCGCACTTTCATCTGGTTTGGTCTGCCGCGGTTTCCGTGGACTTGTGAACTCGCAGGCGCGCGCTTTTAGGAAATCCTATACACCACTGTTTATGCTCTAAAAACATTCTAAATGACTTTGTTTCGAGTAAATTATGGACGCTACCCAAACCCAAAATTACTTCAGCCGAAGGTTTCCAGATGGACATGTGGAGCAAATCCATCTGGTGGAGTCAGGTTAGTTGAATGCAGCGTTTCTGCGAATCATTAAAAGTCATTAAATAATAATTTTTTAATTTAAGGCCTTTAAAATTCCTTAAATTTGAATATTTTGGCATTTAAAATTATTTACAAACACCATTTATTAAATTACATATTTGCAAACATGCAAATATATCGCAATATATTATATCGCGATATATTTGCATATTTGCATGGAACTGCTTCCGGTTGATCGTAAAGCCGTATGTCTGGAAAAGAAGCTTGAGGCGGAGAAAAAGCTAGAGAATGGTTAAAAGCTAATTTCAACAAAAGTGGCTGGAAATCGAGGAATTGCAGCCTGTCGACGGTGATGAAGAAGGAATTTACTGTGTATTTATGAGAGTCATGGGTACTTGTTGATGGCATTAAAATTATTTCAAAGAACATTAACCCTTTAAAGCAAGAACGAAGAATAAAACAAAACAGAAAATTACTTTTTTTGGTTTGAAGTCCTTATTTGGCCTTTTAACAAAATATGTAAAAAGAAAAAACAGAAATACATTTTTGATATTAATAATTTATTACTATGCGATAAGTCAAGATTATTTTTTGTGTAGTCTTCTGCCCTCTGTTATCAGGTATGTCTGATTGTGTACAATAGGATTTGGAGCAAAGTTTTTACCATTAAATTATGCAAAAGATGTCAGATGCAAAACATTTCAGAAACCGTATGTATCAAAAACGATACATTTGGCATTACAGGGTTAAAAAGCATTAAATTAGAGTGGATCATTCCTTTATTAACCCTGGAATGGATGTGATGGGAGGGTGGTCAAAAAGTAACAAGAAAATTGTTATAAATGAGGATAGTTGAGTGAAAAGATGGTGTGAACTGCGATCAGTAATTATTTGTTAGACTTTTTACTTCTACTCCTTGTATTTTAAAAACAGACTTGTCAGTTTTGTTTCATTTAAACTCTTTTTCATTATAGCCTGTTGATACTTTAAAAAAAACAACAACATTTATTTAATCCAGATCATTTCTTTGCCTTTGGATTCAGTGCTGCCCCAACTTGTTGTTCACCACATACCAAAATAAATAGTTTTTCAAGATGAAGCAAAGTAAAATTTAACACTGTTACCATTAGTTATAAAACTAAGAAAATGAAGTATAAGTAAAGCTTTTGTCCTTAACATTTTTCCTGCATTATTTTTACGTTGTTTTAAACTTTTTCTTGAGTAAAAAGCTTAAGTTGATCCTCTAACTTCTACAACAGTGTTTTTAAACAGTAGGATTATACTATAACATTAATACTTTTGACACTTCTATTGGACAGAAGAGCAAGGCTCGGAGCGCTCTGTGTGATATATTAGCTGCTGAACTCTGCTCTTCTGAAGAAAGATCTTAGAGGTTGTTGCTGGAATCTCTGGTTTAAGGGTCACAGTGACCATCTGACCCCTCTGACTCTTTGCAGATCACCCTTTACTCCTCAGCACTGCTTGAGCTTCTCATGTTTCTTCTCCATGTTGGGGGGTTATAATACCTGCCACCACAGTAGCTACATTTACATGGACATAAACAGCCGATCAAAATAAGAACCTGTTTTACAAACATCCCAGTAATCTGATTGGATCCAGCAGGATTGGAATAAAATGTTAATCCAAGAGAGAGCTGAGTTTTGTGCCTCAATGTTATTTCTGCTCTGACTGGCTAGACTATCCAGCTGCTATGAGAATATCTTAATCTGTTTGTTTCCATGGTAACATTTTTTTTTCGATTGGCCATACTTTCCAAATTGATTCCATATAAATGACAAAATCAATTACCGTATTTTTTTTCTTCCCTATTTTAATCAGATTGTGAAATTGTGTGCAAAGCTAATGGTTAGCCTGGGTAGCCTTCACATGTTTATCCTTGGTCTAATGTGGTAGAACTTGGCTTCTATTGTTTCTGTTCTTTTGCTCTCATCAGTCCCATCACGCTGTCCTTCAGTCTAGGGTTCTGTATCCTTGATTAAACCTTTGGTGTCTTCCACCCCTGAGCCTTTCATTGGTAATTCCATAAAGAAGGTTTCTCCTGGTCCTTATCTGGGTGTCTGCTGCTAAAGGAATTCTGCCTCTCGATGTAACCCTTGGTCAGAGCAGGGTAGTGGTCTTGCAACTCACTGTTCCTTGCCCCATTTTCTTGATTGCGATGATATGGTGTTTGTGTGCTGATCTACTGTATTCTTTGGGTTTCTATAAAATGTTAAATTTCATCTGTGTTGTTTTCTCTTTTTGCTATTTTGTGTCTATTTTTAAGACGAGGCTTAAAACTTTCCTTTTTGATAAAGCTTATAGTTAGAGTGGCTCAAGTTATCCTGAGCTATCTCTATAGCTATGCTGCTAGGCTTAGACTGCTGGAGGACATAGGGACTACTTTTCAATCATTCTGCTTTATTCTGTCTCTGTTCTCCCACTCTGCAGAATCTGTTAGTTCAATCAATTCAATGCTTTTTCTCATAGTAGCTTCATCTGGTCTGTTCCTGTTTGGCAGTGACTCCATCCTGGAGAGAAATATCAGCTGTGCTGCTGCCATCAACACCTTTGTTTCTAGATGTTGGAGATCGGCCTGTTTTCCAGTTTAGTCCTGTTTCTTTGACTGTGACTAACTGGATGTGCTCTCTTCATCCTCTGACATGGGAGCTTGCTTAGAGCTCGTCTGCCTGGCTGTGTGTTTCCTGGTCGGGGCCGCCTTTTACAGTCGGCCTCAGCAGATGGCCGCTCACACTGAGCCTGGTTCTGCTGGAGGTTTCTTCCTGTTCAAAGGGAGTTTTTCCTCTCCACTGTCGCTACAGGCATGCTTAGTGTGAGGGATTGCATTTGAGTCATTGAGTTGATGCAATCAACTGGTTTTCTTTAGATAGAAAACCTTGAATCAATCTGACTGGATGATCTGGTAAACTATAAAGTCACGTGTTGTGAATTGGTGCGATAGAGATAAACTGAATTGAATTGAAACTGAATTTAGTTTTTTTGGCATTTTCGCTTAAAAAGACACAATGAATTAAAATACTAAGTAGAAAATGAGCACAAATGATTCAGAAACCCCTGAACTTAACTTTAAAGAAGAAAATCAAACAGTGTGAACTTTCTGAAATGTCCCTTGTTTCCAGACTTTAAGGTTGAGCATCTCTCGTTCTTTCTTCCATTGCGAACATTTCTGTCTAAATGAAGCATCGACTCTGCAGATAAGCAGAGTTCTCGCTCCTTTTCTTCTCCACGGTATCTCTGGTTCAGACCTGTACGTTTTATCACTATAAGTTAAGGAAGCTCAGGGGGAAAACGTCTAGCACAACCAATGGAGCATGGAACCCCCTTCATGTGGGGTTCCCCTTAGCGCAGCACCTCACCTGCGTTCCTGTTTCGTTTGTTGAACGGTGTCAGCGTGGCTTTCGCCTTAGAGGTCCAGCTGATGGTGCTGGAGCCGAAGGAACTGGAGGACAGGGACTTGGCCAGGTTGTCTGAGCTCACCTTCTTTGTGTTGTTGGTGGCCGTCTTACTCCAGTCTGCATGAGGGGAAAAGGAGCAGCAACCAACCATTACTCCCTGATCAGCTCTAGTCAGAAAACTGGATTTTTTTTTCAGTCTTTCAAGCAGTGGCCAATAGAGGGTGCTAGGGCTAAAATCTTTTAAATAATTTTATTTCAAATTAAAATTTTAAATATCTCGAAATATATTAATACATATTTTTTGATGTACAGGATAAATATTACATCTTTAATGAATAGCAAAGCTTGATTCCATTTTTCGTCGGATTAGTGATGTATTTCCGCCCTAGGGCACAAAAATCTTTGCCCATTGACTCTCGTTAAAAGTTGTACATGTGCAGTAGCTCTTATGCAATACAGAAGTATAGGAGAACTCGGGGCGGAGCTAAGCTGCAACCAGAGGGGACAGGAAGTGTATTTACTCGCCGCCACAGGGCAGATGTTTTGCAGAAAGGTCGAGTTACAGGAGTTGAAGATGCATTGGAGAGAGAGAAATGTTTTCAAGGACCTGGTTTAGCTACACAGCTTGGTTAACTGCATGGAGTAAGGCTAATGCTTTATCCTGATTTCCCTGCCTCCTTTTTCAAATGTCAGGATCTGACCCAGCATGGATAAAGACAGCTAGGACTGATTTAAAGCACTTTTAAGAAACGGCAAAGAATAATGATCAATCTGTGATTCACATGGAAATATAATAGAATATAGTCTGCTCTTTCTAGATGTTTGTTAATTTGCTTATTTGCTCATAAATAAACACATTTTCAAAAAAAGTAGTTTTTATATATTAAAAATATAGAGCTGACTAATGGCTTCTCCATTATTAAATTAGAACATTATTTTTTTAGGTTTGTTACACAATATTGGACCATGCAAAACGCAGATTTACCTTCATAAAGCCTCAGAAGGGCAAGATTTATTTAAAAAAAGTAAATCTGAACATTAAATTTAATCATATTTTTGTTGTTGGAATTCATATAAATATTCTGGTGTGATAACTTAGTATATGTTTGATTGGTTTTTGGTATAAGTCTATTTTGAATTTATAGCCCCCCCCCCCCGGAGAAAACTCTACCAGCTGCCACTGCTTTCAATGATTTTAAAATGATACAAATAAATAAAATCCTCGGATAAAACAACAGGGTAAAACAGCTATAGACATCATCCAGTTAGACACCTACCTCATAGATTCATCTATAAGTCCCTTAATGTCATAGAAACTTCAGGATCCTTCATCCTAATTGAAATATAAGTTGCTATCTTAACCTAAGCTGTTGATTTTAATCTTGTTAATTAAATCAATTTTGAATCTTATGAAAAATATCAGGATAAACATTTAGACCCTGTGTTCAGATTTCTACAGCCATGTCTAGGCAAGGTCTAGATGTGAAACAAAGTGATGCTGTGGGCCTGTTTCTCTCCTAGAAGCCTTGTTAAGAGTGAATAATGACATCTATAAAGACCAGCACATTATAATGATTAAAACCAGATGACGGATAGCAGAACAACCCAGAAATGCCTCAACCAACACAAATTAATTCTCTTTGATCACCTGAATCCTGTAAAAGAGCTCAGGAGAACAGAGATGTGTGGTCAAAGACCCGATCTTTGAGCTCCAGCCGTGGGAAAAACGGCATGAATGAGGTCAAAGCTGAGGTCAGCGGGAAGCCCCTCCTAACTGCACCATTCTGGCACAGAGCAGGTTGTTTACTTCGCTATGTTCATCCCACACACAGGGACGGCAGGAACATGACCGTGATCCTGGCTTTGAGGAGGAATTCATCGGTTCTGAGGCGGTGGCGCACAGACAAACTTAATTAAGATTTCTTTCAGTATGGAGTCAAACTTCAAACTGAATGAATGTTGTTGAGAGCGTCCTTAGATTGACTGCACCTGGAGGACATTCCACTCCCCGAGAGACGGCTGTGTTTTATCTGCTTTTATTAGCTGCAGAGCCCAGGTGACTTAGAGTTTATTAAACCGTCCTGTTTTCTCTTCTTTCTTGCAGCTCTGTGAACCTGGCAGCAGGCCTGCTGACAAATCCAGAGAGTTTCCTGTGGAGAAAGCAGACAGGTAGACCGACGGCTGGGCGGATACCTGAGTTTTCTGAGAGCCTGTAGGGGCCACAGCAGAGGTATCTTCTCCACTGCTTCTGCACATTTTCCTTCAGAGCGCAGTGGAAGATAAATATGAAGAGACCTGAAAAGATACGAGAGAGGATGAGAATATTGAATGATCTTAGAGTCTGATAAAGAGTACATTTATATACATGTTTAAGCCAGAATGATTTGACATTTAAATATGACTTACCTACGACTTTAACAAATTTAGTCCCATTGATAGTATTAGTGATTTTTTTTCATTGTGGTTTGTGTGTGACCCTTTTCAATATTTTAATGGAATAAACATAATTTTAGTCATTAATATGCAAAAGTTCATTCATTAGTACTACAGAAAACATTTTTTGAGAATAAACAAGTCATCACGCTAATATATACACTGCCGTTCAACAGTTTGGGGTCACCCAAACAATTTTGTGTTTTGCTGAAAAGTCACACTTATTCACCACCATACGTTGTGAAATGAATAGAAAATAGAGTCAAGACATTGACAAGGTTAGAAATAATGATTTGTATTTGAAATACGATTTTTTTTTTACATCAAACTTTGCCTTCATCAAAGAGTCCTCCATTAGCCTTCCTTGTTCAGAATCCCTTTTACCCTGTACAAATCTCCCACCTTACCAGCACCAAAGCAACCCCAGACCATCACATTACCTCCACCATGCTTAACAGATGGCGTCAGGCATTCTTCCAGCATCTTTCCATTTGTTCTGCATCTCACAAACGTTCTTCTTTGTGATCCAAACACCTCAAACTTGGATTCATCCATCCACAACACTTTTCTCCAGTCTTCCTCTGTCCAATGTCTGTGTTCTTTTGCCCATCTTAATCTTTTTCTTTTTATAGGCCAGTCTCAGATATGGCTTTTTCTTTGCCACTCTGCCCTGAAGCCCAGAATCCCGCAGCCGCCTCTTCACTGTAGATGTTGACACTGGGGTTTTGCGGGTACTACTTAATGAAGATGCCAGTTGGGGACCTGTGAGGCGTCTGTTTCTCAAACTAGAGACTCTAATGTACTTATCTTCTTGCTCAGTTGTGCAACACGGCCTACCACTTCTTTTTCTAATCTGGGTAGAGCCTGTTTGTTCTGTCCTCTGAAGGGAGTAGTACACACCGTTGTAGGAAATCTTCAATTTCTTAGCAATTTCTTGCATGGAATAGCCTTCATTTCTAAGAACAAGGATAGACTGTCGAGTTTCAGATGAAAGTTCTCTTTTTCTGGCCATTTTGAGAGTTTCATTGACCCCACAAATGTGATGCTCCAGAAACTCAATCTGCTCAAAGGAAGGTCAGTTTTGTAGCTTCTGTAACGAGCTAAACTGTTTTCAGATGTGTGAACATGATTGCACAAGGGTTTTCTAGTCCTCAATTAGCCTTCTGAGCCAATGAGCAAACACATTGTTCTATTAGAACACTGGAGTGATAGTTGCTGGAAATGGGCCTCTATACACCTATGTAGATATTGCACCAAAAACCAGACATTTGCAGCTAGAATAGTGATTTAGCACATTAGCAATGTATAGAGTGTATTTCTTTAAAGTTAAGACTAGTTTAAAGTTATGTTCCTTGGTAAATGGTATTGGTAAATGGCATGTACTTATATAGCGCCTTTATTCAAGTTAGGAGACTTGACCAAAGCGCTTTTCACTACATTCATTCACCCATTCGCACACACACTCACGGTGGCAAGCTACATTGTAGCCACAGCTGCCCTGGGGCTCACTGCCGTACACTGGCGCCACCTGGGCCCTCTGACCACCATCAGTAGACAATGCAGGTGAAGTGTCTTGCCCAAGGACACAACGACACAACAACCCTTCGATTTCAGGGCAAACTCCTACATCCAACGCCACTGTCGCCCCCCAAAAGTACAGTGCTTTTCCTTCAAACATAAGGGCACTTCAATGTGACCCCAAACTTTTGAACAGTAGTGTGTGTGTGTATATGTATATATATATATAAAGACTGTGTTGTCACGGGCCCTAACAAAGCTGTAAGCTGGCCTGGTTCCTGGTAACATAGCAACAATCTTATAATAAATGCTTTAGACAAAACTAATCTGCTGGATTTTCTGCATAGCTCAGAACCGGCAGGCTGGATACTGAACCTTGCAGAGAGTTGAAGATGGTGAACAGGTAGGTGAAGGTCAGGTAGACGGGTCCCCAGGCGAACAGAGCAAAGCCCCACGTCATCCCAAGCAGGAAGGTGAGGCTGACGACGCTCCGCAGATTTCGAAGGACCTGGATCAAAATGAAGATTTCATTTAGTTTAAACCCTCATAATATTTAAAATATTATAGATCAAATACTCCTCAGCGAACAATGAACTGAAATATCTCCTTGTTATAGCTAAATGGATTGTGTCTATTGTTCCCTTATGAATAAAGTTTGGTTTTCGGAATTGTACAGTTTTTAGCGCAGACCTCCTCTCGCAGGGTGCGGTTGCTGCGTTTGCCGTTGCGGCCGCAGATCTGCATCATCACCACGATGAACATGGCCACGTTGAGCAGGAACATCAGGCAGAAGTAACCCACACAGGTGGTGTAGAAGACGCTCTTGTTCTTGATCCAACAGCTGAGCGGAAACATGAACAACAGAAAGAACATCTGCTGAGAAACTGGCTGCTGATGTCATTTCCTGCCTTAGTCATTGGTTGCCATAGCGATCTCCGCCTTTAACCCAGGGCCACAGGATACCCATAACACAAAGTAACGAGATTGAAAAAGCAGGTTCTGTGCAAAAACTGGTGACTGGATAAAAATATTCTTCTATTCTTCTGCTCTGCAAAAACTAACATATAAGTAAGTTGATTTTTCTTCAAATAAGTATATTTTCCCTTTAAATGAGATGAAATGGAAGCACTTTGACAACAGATAAGATGATTTACATAAAAGAAAAAAGACTAGTTAGGCACTTAATTAACATTGACTTATTTTAAGACATGTCATACTTGTCTTTAGAAACACAATCAATGTGCTGGCAGCACATGTAAACCAGGAAGTGTCCATAGTGTCTTATGGGGCAGAAATGACAGCTTAAAGAAGGAGTTCCCAACAGTTTCAGCATGTGACCCGTTTCAATAATTCAGTGGGACATTCATCTTTCTGAATGTGCTTTTTTAGATGTTGATGATACATTTTGTATTTGCATCATGTATTTGTGGAAGAGGAATTAGGACCACTGAAAAAAAAAAAATAACAGATTTTCTTTCTCTCATTTGAATTTTAAAAATGGGAAAAAGTAAGAATGTCTTACTTTAATCTCAGAATTCTTCCATTTCTTCTTTAAGGGCTGATAGAATGATTCTATAGGGTATCTGGTCCTTAAGGTCTCTGAATAGGGTGTGTAACATTGATTGGGCTGAAAAACATATTTGCTGCTCTATAAGCCCTAATGCAAGCCTGTTTAAAAGCCCCAGAATGAAACGACAGGTTTTCTTCCTTTTATGGTATGCTCATGAATATTTAGATGAGCTGTGCTCTGATTGGTTGGTTTGCTGAGCAAAGATGCATCATAGCAACAAACACTCACTCACTGAAACATCAAATTGTTGATATGTTAGGGTGACCAGACGTCCTCTTTTTTCCAGACATGTTCTACTTTTATTACCTAAAAAAATGTCCAGGGGGAATTTTAAAATCGTCCAGGATTTGGTCGACTGCAGTGCAGCACGTAGTTAAAACACACCGGGCATTTGAACCAAGCCGTGAGCTCCGGGGCTGGTCCAGGAACCCCAGTGGATGGGGGCAGGGAGCCAGCGGGGGACAAAGTGACCGAATCGACATTTGGCCCTGTGCTTCCCCCCGCCTGCCTTACCGTGCCCCTGTCCTCCGGCTTAGGACAGGCGATACATGGCTCTCTGCTGAGGTCCGGTCCATTCAGCGGCCCAGCAGTCAACACTTCATACCCCCCCTCCCTCCCAAACCCTTGAGCAAGTAAACCAGTGGGCAGGCCTGTATGTTAATTTCGGGGCGTGACAAAAGTAAAGGCCAGAACTAAATAAGGCAACATCCCCAATTCTACTTCAACTCGGTGCTTCATTTGGATTCGCCCGTTTTATGGTGGAAGTTTAGAATTGTGAGATTTGCGGAGAAAGGAGGTGTCGATGGGGTTTGAACTTCTCTGTACGTCCATTTTACCCACTGAACTATTGTTAGTCATCTATGACAATGGAAACTCAGTTGTGCATACTATGACCCCTTTAAAAGTCTGAGATCACACTCAAAATTCTGAGATTAAAGTGAGAATTCAGAGGGAAAAAAAATCTGAATTCAGACGTTTATCCCATTTTAAATGGTAAATGTTAATGTAATTGTAAATATTAAATCCCCCTCAATATTAATGTAAATATTAAACTAAAGTGAAAGAAAAAAATCTGTCAACCTTTTTCCATAATTCTTTTCTGTATGCATTAGATAAATTATTACATCAATAAATGCTACATCTACCTATTTTCATAGGTTATCTATTTGCTTTATTTATTTACATTTATGTATGTCCTTATATGTTTAGCTGTACATATTCCTTAGAGATCCCATCATAATGATTATGAAAACCAACCCTGGGAGGTCATGACCCCAATTTTGGATTCCCCCGGCTTAATGAGACTGGACAAAAAAATCAGGGCTGACGAGTAATGCAAGTTAGATACAGTTTTTTTTTTTTTTTTGCAATTTGTCTCCAAGCATTCATTCCTTACGAGAACCTAATCATTGAACCCATAGAATGTTCCTGCCCCCTGCAGCTTATGTCACAATCACAAAACAAGAGCTAACAAGAACAGAAATGACACATTTTAAGGAGGAGAAGGAGGAGAAAAGCAAAGTGCTCAACTGCTCCGACTTTATGTAGGCTTCCTGCTGTGAAGTATAGCAGAGATATGAGACTCTAAACAGGACAGGGTTTTCCCACTTATCTCATTTTAATTCACTGAAGAGGAACTTTAAATTTGATTGAGAAACATATTCTGATAAAATTCTTTGCTAGAAATAAGAGCCTGTAAAGCCCTCAGGAAATGTGTCTCAGTATTTGCATTCTGACATTTTTTTACAACTTCAGTAGAATTTAGTTTAACATAAATGTCTGATGCAAAAAAAATAAATAAAAAATCCATTTAGAAACTGTTTTTTTTTTTTATCTTCACCTCTTCAACCATTCATCTACAAAATCCTCCAGATTTTTTCCACATAACACTGAGGTTGGCCCACTTACATTATTGCGGTTTCATCTTCACGGTCCATTAAGATGCCATAATGGTTTTTATTCACCGTGACAACGATTCCCACCAGGACTGCAGGTAAACCTGGAGGAAAGAGAAGGTCAAAAGTTTAGCTCCACTGTCTTCCTTTTAAGGTTCTTTGGATGCTTCTCTGACACCAAACATATTAGTTGAATCGCCGCCATCTTAAAAAGTGTTTTTCTTTCTCATGTTGAATTTTTGTGAGACGGGGTTTTTTTTGGATCAGATCAGGGGGAGTTCTCCTCACATGGTGAACAAATCCTTTGTTCCCCTATGTTTTGGTAAATGCAAATAAGTCAGAACCCTGAAGCTCTCAGTCGATAGTTTGGGCTACTCCATCCGCTCAATATGAGGACACATCCATCTGTTCCTAGATTTCAGCTGCCATGCATCCCAGAAAAGCCTTTCCCAGTGTCTAATGTTTCCCTTCCATCTTCCGAGGCTTAGGACATTCCTGCATTGATGAGACCGGGTCGGAAAAAGCTCCAGGTGTCTTCCGTCCCAATCTTCCTGCAATACATCATCAGCTGTCCAACACTATATAGGTTTAGGTTTCATCAGTGCAGGCCGTAGTCCAGCACCCGCTTCCTCTTTTTCCTCAGCTGTGCCTTTGGACTCATGTCAAGATTTCAGATCTTCAAATTGTCATTTGAATTTTTGGTCCATTTTTAAAATGCAGAGAACCTTTTAAGACTAGCACTTAAACTTTTCTTTCAGATAGCTTTTAATTGGAGTGGCTCAGGTTATCTAACCTGATGGATTTGCTGGATTTGCTCCGCATATCCATCTGGAAACCTTCCGTTGAAGTAATTTTAGGAAGGGGCGAAAATACTGGTTAGCTGATTGGCCTATGTTGGTGATAGACGGGCCAAATAAACCAATCAGATCAACGAAGCATATGACGTACTAGAAGAGCGATGACGAAAACACAACCACAAGCCAGGCTACTCTTGCCGAAACCAGTCAGGAGAAGAGTAAAAACATCTTTTCCTCTGAGAAAAGCCTCCAGAGCAGTGTTTTGCTCTTCTTTCAGTGAAGAAATACTCTGTAATTCCGATAAAACTTGCTCGATAGCCACGCTAACGGTAGTTTCATCGGCTGAAGCCACCATGTTCTTTAGACTGAACTGTCGCGCTTCTCGTTGCGTCACACCTCAACCCGCCTCAAAGCCAACGCTGATTGGACGTTCGTTTGGTGAACGGCTCCAAATTTTCTTCAACGGAGAGTCTCCAGACTGATTAGCGAGTGAAATCTTGAAACCTCGCGAGATCAGCATGGTCTCACGAGGCTAGCATTCAACCCCCTTTTGATTTAGCTTTTAACCCCCTTTACTTTTAAATAAAATCCATTAACAACCCAAATAGACATCCTCGAAGTTATGATCAAATATTTCCCCTTTGCTTATATTTACGTCATGTCCGTTGTTACTAAAGTACCATCTGGGAAGTCATTTTAAACTGCCTCAATGAATCTCATTCTTTAGAGGCCTAACCTCCTTATCCATGTGTAACTTCATCCATCAGGCATTAACTTTTGATGTGTTTTTTGTTGCTGATATAACAAACCATTAATATGTCCAACGTATAACTTTAAAATCTCTTCTTGGTGGAAACACAGCAGTTGTTTCTCTTTAGGTAGATAACTATGAATTACAACAAGAAAATGAGAATCAGACCGTGTGAGTCCCTGTTTCCAGGTTTTAACGTTGACTCCAGCTGCAGCTCGGATTCGCTGCTTGATAACGAGGAGCCAATTGATAGATCAAACTCTTGCCGAAACCAGTCGGGAGAAGAGCAAAAACATCTTTTCCTCTGAGAAAAGCCTCCAGAGCAGTGTTTTGCTCTTCTTTCAGAGAAGAAATACTCTGTAATTCCGATAAAACTTGCTCGATAGCCACGCTAACGCTAGTTTCATCGGCTGAAGCCGCCATGTTCTTTAGCCTGAACTGTCGCGCTTCTCGTTGGGTCACACCTCAACCCGCCTCAAAGCCAACGCCGATTGGACGTTCGTTTGGTGAACGGGTCCAAATTTTCTTTAACGGAGAGTCTCTAGACTGATCTGCGAGTGAAACCTTTAAAGCTCGCGAGATCAGGATGGTCTCACGAGGCTACAGGTTATCCTGAGCTATCTTTAAAATTATGCTGCTATAGGCTTAGACTGCTGGAGGACCATGGGGCCAGTTTTCATCATTCTGCTTTATTCTTTTTCTCCTCAGATAGAATACTTTGAATCAATTTGACTGTATGATCTGGTGGAACTGTAAAGTACCTTGAGACGACATGTGTTGTGAATTGGCGCTATAGAAATAAACTGAATTTAATTCTACGTCTATTCTACATTTATGCAGTATTTGTTGGTTCTATTTCTATCTTTATGCTCTCTTTGTTTTTTCTCATCAGAGCAGCTTCATCAGTTCGGTTCTGTTTAGCTATGACACCATCCTGGATATAGATGATAGATTCAAAGACTTGTTTCAATCAGTTGGGTTCCATTAGACGGCCAACTTTGATTTTACAGAACTTTCTGTAAAGTGCCTTAAGATTCCATGTATTGTGAATTGTTGCTATATAAATACACTGAATTGATTTCATACATTTTTTTAAAATAGGTATACCATTAAATGCTTAAATAAGATGTTCCCTACGCTGGTCCCCAGGGACCCCTGTCTTGCATGTTTTAGTAAACACCCTGTAGCATCACATGTGGGTCACTAAAAGTACCTGATGGTTGCAGAGGAGCAGCAACGATTTCATTCATCTTAATCAGAAACATCTCAAAAACTGGAACTATAAGCAGTGGAGATAAAAAATCTGAGCTCACCCCATCCAACGATGCAGAACTTGAGGATGTATCGGCGTATGTAGGTGTTGAAGACCTTGACCAGAGCGATGTACATGTGAACGGACTCCAGGCCCATCCAGGTGAAGGAGGTCAGCAGAAAGTAGTGCAAAAGGACAGCCGCAGACGTGCACAGCCCCTCGTTTTTGACCATAGTGGCAAGCCACCCGTCCAACAGGAAGACAATGTTGAGGCACAGCAGCGACGTGCTGAGGTTCATCAGGATCTTAGATGGATAATCTCGTCGCAGCTTCCTGTAAGGATGGAAAAATAAAGCCTTCAGTAGGTTCATTTCTTATATTGCTTCTCCATGAATGCTCTAAAACCCATTCTAAATCAAGGAACTCACTCAAATGCGATGTAGGTGAGCAACGTGGCAGCAGAACAGATGGCTGAGATGCCGCAGCCGACGTAGGAGAGGAATGTCAGGACCCTCTTGTTCTCTGGATCCATTCGACTTGAACTCTGGGAAATGTCCTGCATGGAAGAAAACCAGATCAAGAAGCACAGGGGGATCTGCTTAGTGTTATTTCTTTAAAACATTCCTGGCTTAAGGTAGAACAAGCCAGGAAGCTTTTTCAATTCAAAATGTCAGAAATAGCTTTGAGTTCTAGGCTTTATAGAGTTGTTTTTGTTTAGAAAACGTCTGTTTCTAGTTGTTTCCTAAACAAAAATAATGCTAGGCTACTCTATAAGCCTAGAACTCAACACTATTTCTGACATTTTGAATTGAAAAAGCTTCCTGGATGGGAAGAGAAACGAAAGCTTGCTAGTCTACTGTCAAAGGACTTTATTGTTACTTCTGTGGAAAAGTGCTATTGGCTTTTATCATGCTGATTTTCTTCATCAAAAAATCTAACAATATTTCAGCAAAACTAAACTTTTATATTATATATATTATTTACTACACCCCATCTTTAATCATTCTCAATTAAAACATTATTTAAAGACAAAATATGCATTAAAAACAGCCTTCTATTTTCTGTGAGGTGTCAAACGTGTTTGATTTATTAATCTTCAGTAACATTTCTTGTGATTCCTGAATAAATTTATTATCAGAAACATAAAAAAATGAGTGCAGACACTGATGGCTGCAGTCGCCTAAAACACGTCTCACCATCAGGATGCCAAAGTGAGTCAGATGGTTGCAGAGGCAGACCGTCCTGCTTGTGTTCGACTCTTCGGATACAACGCAGCCTTGTTTATTCCAGCCTCCGTCTCCCACTGGTGGGCAAAGAAAGACATCACATTAAATCTACTAACAGGTAATAATAAACTTCATCCTAAATAAAAAGCTCATTCATTGGGTAAATTATCTAAGAAAATGAAAACATATTACAGCTTCCTGCTTTCACATTGTGATTTATTCTGGAATATCTCTTCTGCTATAATCTCTATGATTAAAAGAATAAATATTGTAATACATCAGAATCACACCTGAGAAATTGAACTAGCAAAGTTCAGGATGACACTATTATGTGTGCAGGAGACGGTTTCTGGCCGATATGTTCCAACAACCAACTGTGAAGCTGGGAAACTAAATGTGGACAGACTCACTGTGCATGCTGAAGTCCCAGAAAACACACTCCCTATTTGAGGGGACCTGTGGGGAAAACCAAAGGAGAGGACGCTCACTGTCAGTTTACTACCTACTAACATTGAAGGAAATTAAATTAAATTAAAAGTATAAACAAAAAAGAATAAACAAAGAAAAGGTCACTAAAAAGATTTTCTCTGTATCAAACCGGATATTAGAAAGGTATTAAAATGATAAAATGATCACCCCCCTTTGGACCTTCAAAAGAAAATATACATAAAAAAGGCATATTTTTTAGTTCCTCAGGGGAAAGCCTGGGGGGCTTCAAGGTCATTCCAGAGTAGTGATGGTTGATGAGGCGTCATGAAGCATTTCGATAGATTGCCAAACTCTACTGATAATGCGTTGATAATGTCGCTCATTACTGACACCTGCTGGACCTTCAAAAGCCTAACGGGCAGCCTATTTAACACTAGATGTCCCGGAGAATTCCAGTTTTCCCTGTAAGCCCCCCTCCCCACTTTAAGTTTGTGTATTCACTCTACCTTGCTAACTGTCCTTGTTGTAATGCAAATAACCTGTGATATAACCAGCCCTTCTACATGAGGCTGGATAAAGGCTGAAACAAACTGGTATCAGAACAAGAGCATGTTCCAAACACTTCATTACCTTCCCCTGCAACGTCAGACCTTTTTGCAGGAATATCCTAATAAGTCACATCTAAGTCTTTTATTAAGGCAAACCTATTGAACAACCAGATATCATACGGGTCCTAGTTCCTGAGCTGAGATCAGGTCATAACCATGCTTTTCCAACAAGGCAAGGCAGAGCCTATTTATATTGTCCATTCACCAACAGACTCATTTATATCGCAAAGCTCACTATGTGAAAGAAACGTAGAGAATAATTGTATTTTGTCTTGTCTCGCCTTTTCATGTTATTCAACATTTCAGCTTAGAGAATGACAAACAGTATGATTTCAGTATTGGAGTAACATTAATTTCACCCAAGGACAAGCACTACATATGAAGCATTTGTGACAGGTATACTTAGTGCAGTGCCCACACGCTCAGTGCTGTGGTTCCTGTTGCAGCGATTGCACACCTGGCCTGCTTGTAATAACAATGAAAAAATCTCAAAAAATAGAGTTTAGCACAATTTCCCAAAGTAAGAGTTGTAGTATGAACTAGATGAGGTTATCTAGGTGTGCTACAAGTTTGCTGGCACTACAGTGATCTATAATGTAGTCATTGCTCATTTTATACTTATTCTAATAATAAAATAGGAGTCATTGGGCATTTAGGCTTTGGAAATTCCTCAGAAAAGTATTATTTTTGAATCCAATAAATGTGATAATAATCCACCTGTCCTTGGTGATGCTTTTGAATATTTTTCTCTGATTATTTTGCAACTTGCAGAGCTCGCTCCTCCTGCGCATTTTTGGAGCAGTGAGATCCCCATATGGTCCAATGTAATTATCCCAACGTGATAGGAGACTCGTTTAGAGGAAACTACGGTTGTAGCTCACTGTATGCCTGTTTTGTAGAATAAATAATTTGCCGACGAGTTATTAATCCGGAAAAGCCGAATTTGTGAATTTATTGCCAGCGGAGGAAAGACGAGAGAGAGAGGAGAGATTGCCTGAGTTATATTTCCCCCCAAATAAATAATGCTCATTATTGTATGAATGGTGTTGCTTTCTACAGCGTTCCAGCTCATGCAGCTATTTTCATTGTACAGATCAGTTATCGTCTGATCGCTGCGCTGGCTGCTGCCCTGAAATCATTGCGCTGTTGGCGACACTGATGACGTAGACCTAATTATATTTATTTACAAATATGATTTCCCCCCCTCCTGCTCTCAGGTAAAACAGTCTCAAAGAGAGAGACGAGCTAAAATCGCAACTGAAGGGTTGTTTCTCAAGCCACGTCGCTAATGGGGCATTTACATCTGAAAAGGGATTCATGAGTTCATAAGTACTGCGGGGGGATTGGAGACTGACAAAAATTCTCGTATCTCCGGGACTTTTAGTGTTAACCTCTTTTCCATTCATAATAGTGGGTTAAACCATGTTTTTCAAACATGGATCGACCTGCTAAGAATTGGCATTTGGCTGCCTTCACACTGGCAAAGATAACATGGGTCTAACCCAGAGGTCACCGATTATCGGACCACGGTCCGGATCCGGACACACCTGCCTGCTAATCCGGACCCAACCCGATTTCAAACTTTTATAAATTACTGCATGTTGTTGGATGACAGTGTCTAACTTCACTTGCGCCGCTTCTCCTGTTAATACGGTAAAGCCCTCCGGAGCGTCCGGCTCCAGGCTGCACGTGATCCAAATTATCCAATGAGCTGTCAGTCTGGGTTGCTGCTGCTGCTACTTTTAGACACAGCAGGCAAACCTGTGGCAAGCCGGGCGATGGGAAAGAAGGAGAAGACGATGAGAAAAAGAGAGCAGAGAAAGTGTGGACTGCTGGAAGAACTACGATGAACTGGTGAAAGAAAAGTGAAATGGTGTGCTCAAAGATGACCCTGCACTTTTTGGCTCCAATTGTCACTGCAGCCTGAAGTGACCCAAATCCAATTTTTTGGCCTGTATGTGACTGGTATCTGATCTTTTCATGGCTATCTGAACAACACAGATCTTATTTTTTCCAATGCAACCCAGGCCACTTGGCTCTGTGGTCCTGAATCCGATACAAATCTGATTTTCTCAAAAGCAACTTGAGTCTGAACGCCCATGTTGCATTCATCCAACCTGAAAGTCATTAATACCCGACAAATTTCACTATTCTGGGTCTTTCTATTAGGAAGCGGCAAGAAAAACAACAACCATGGCGGACTATGATGCGGAGAGCAGTATTTATGTTTAACCGGCTTGAAAAGATTGTTTTTATGGTTGGGAAAGATCGCTAGATGTGCTCCGTCACTACCTTCCATAAACAAAGAGCACGCTGACCTGTGATGTCATTGCGTCCTCTACTGCGCATGCGGGACACTTGCGTTTTATGACTGCAGATCACACAGGAGATCACATACAAGTCACATATATTTCGAAATGTGAACAGCAAAACGCAAAAAAAATCGGATTTCACAAAAAAAAAATCGAAATTGATTATCAAGGGCTGCAGTGTGAACGTAGCCTTAGAGAATGTGAGGCTCAATAAGCTGCTATGAAGCAGGATTCTCAACCGTGAACAGAATAAAAAAAAAAAAATGGATCCAGGGTCAAAATGAGCACCTTGATATGTGCTTGAGAATGGCTTAGTCTCCATTCAAACCCAGGTTTAAAGCCTTGCAGGGCAGCCTAAAGCCCACTGCCAACATTAAGACAGAAAAAATAAAAAAAACTAATAACAACCGGTCAGTTTAAGTGTTTTATAAAATATGTGAATCAGGAAATTGTCTATATACCAAACTGAATGATTGTTTGTCTCTACTTCAAAAATCACTTGAGATATTAAGATGGAAAAATTGTCCTTTTTTAAAATATTTTTTAATTTGAAAAGTCAATGTATAACATGAATGCATAAACACCTAATTTGATTTTAGTGATAAATTCTGTTTAAAGTAACAGATTATACTGGTTTACTGGTTGATGATTTTCTTTATTTAGCCCCTGCTGATTTTTTAATTGGTTACCCCTGGTCTAATCCCTCACTGGCAGCTGCATAGCCAGTGTGAAATAGGTATATGACAATCCATTTCCAATTCCAATCCAACCACACCTGATCAAAGAGATGGGTGATCTCGATTCGGACCGGATCTTTCAGGCCTTGGATGGAGAGGTTCCCGACGCTGCTGGCCACCACGTAGCTGTTCAGAGACCAGCCCTTCTGCTCTGTCTGCAAGTGAAACACCCAAACAATCACCAAAACTATTCCCATGATCCTCGCTGATGAAGCTCAGACATTTGGTTCTTCTTCTCACCATGAACAAGTTGGGGTTGCTGAAGAACATGAAGTTGATCCTGGAAAGAGACGACCTGTCGAAATCGCCTGATGAGACCCCGGTCAGCAGGGAGGAGGGGAGCGTGACCTGAGCCAACGGGTTGGTGGTCCGATCAAACTCGATCTGCAGGATAAAGAGTCAACAATGAAACCAATGCAGCTCAGAATAGATTTTGTTAGAAAATTTAGGAAGAACCTTCCATGATGTTTACCTTCGGGTCGTTGGAGTTTGGAAGGAAGACGGTGCTAAACGAAGTCTCGTTGAACAAGCTGGCATTGAGGGCCAGTATTCCTAAAGCCAGATGTTTGGAGGTGATGTTGACTGATGGACCATCAAATTCCAGCTTCTTAGCCAGCTCTTCCATAGCCCTCAGAGCTCTGGAGGAAAAACGGCAAAAAATTAAGAGAGGCTTCCCTAAAGTCTGGACCTACTGATCTCTGGAGAGCTCAGCTCCTCAGACAGACCAGAGAGAGGAGATATTCTGTGACATCATGCATAATAAGACAGCATTTCCCTTTTATTACAACTAAATCAGTCTCCGTATCACCTCCTGATGTCTTCTTACAAGGGATGGAACGGTTTATGAAAACTGTCCGAACCGTTCGGTTCGACTGTCTCGGTTCGGTTCACGTGTGTTGCGTTCGGTTCATGCGCTGCTCCTTTTTCTCATAGGCGAACCGTTTACACTCCAGAGCAGAAGGTGGCGGTACTGCGACCAAAGCCAACCACAAGTAGTACACAAGAAGAAGATGAAGCGAAGCAGCGTAGCAGAAAAAAATCAGTTGCTGTGGAGAATTGTGTGGGTATGGCGAGTGAGAAAGAACAGGAGTTGGAAGACGCGCCAGCAGCACTTTATAGGTCTGCTGTATGGGACCACTTTGCATTTAGAGTGACCTACGATGACGGCGGAAAGAAAGTTGTGGATAAAAGTGAAACAGTGTGCAAGCATTGTGCAACACATTTTGTTTATGCTAACATCAACATGACCATCATGTCAGGCTAACCCCGAAATCCGACATACTCTGTCAGCGCTCCGCTGCGCTCCAGACCGCCTGCACAAAGCAAAGCCTACAGCCTCCGCTGTGGCTCCCGTCCGCTCCGCTCTGAGTTCCTTGGAGATCGTAGAGGGCAGGCGCCAGATGATTAAATTCAAAGCAGCAAAACATGTAGAAATGATCCAGGTTTCCACGGATCATTAAAAATAATTACAATTCATTATTTTGGGGGATTTTTTAATTAATTTAATTGTTTTTTGGGGATTTCGGTGTAACAATCGACATATTCCGAACCGAACCGTGACCACGAAACCGTGAACCGAAATGAACCGTGGATTTTGTGAACAGTTCCACCCCTACTTCTTACCCACTGATCTCTATTTATTCACTGGATTGCTGATAGCCCAAAAAAAAAGTGAAGCCACCAGCCGCCATATTGGTACTCCCCACCTCCACGGAGAAGCGCCATAAAAATACCTACCGTAATTTTCGGACTATAAGCCGCGACTTTTTCCACATTTTTCGACCTTGCGGCTTATATAACAATGCGACTTATCTATGGACGTTTACAGCTAACGGCCACTAGGGTAAAACCACAATCTATGGATTTTACCATCCACCATGTTGACGTCACATTTGCTTCAACACACAAGTACGGTAGCCGCGAACACGGGAATGCGGAGGACCTCCGGAAGCAGACTTCTACCGCGAGTGGTGCGAGACAGAACGACAGCGAGAAAGACGGACATTGCGAGCGCAAGACAGTTTGTGTTACACATAAAAAACCTGCGGCTTATAGTCCGGTGCGGCTTGTATATGTACAAATCATGCAATTTAGCTTCTGCGGCTTATACTCAGGTGCGGCTAATAGTCCGAAAATTACAGCAGGTGTGTAGCATTTGGCTGTAAAAACAAGCAGAATTCCGGCTGTGGGAAGACAGCTAATTTCACAGTTAGTGGATGTACTAACCAAGAAAATTAATATAAATACGCCGATGTATCCTATAATATAGTATGTAGGGCCACATTATCTGGCTATCTCGGGCTAACTCGAAGACCTTGACTGAGTTAGCCAATGACACAGTGTCTAATGTTAGAAAATAGAAAGCAGAGTAAATAGAAAGTAATTCACTGAATCAATGTAGTAATTCTTTATTAAGTGGATGATGCCGTCATTTTTTGTAGTGTTTGTTGTATTTCTCATTTGAAAAAGCCATGTGCTGAAATATATTGCATATTATATTGATGAAAAAAAAAGCAACTCAAACATTTTTAAAGGCTGATGCAGTATATGGCATCATGCATGCACAATTTGCAAATAGGAAAATACTATAGCATTACCAGAAACGTATTTGTAATTCAGTCTTGATTTAAAATCATGAAACTATATGTAATATGTAATTACCATAACAATATAATAAATACATTTATATTACCCATACATCATCAATTCAGCACTTTTGGCACATCTTTATTATTATGCTCCATTAACACACTAATTTTGTTGTGATGGATTTATATAATATGTTATATTACACAATTTATAGACTTTATTGACTTAATGTTGACTATGCAATTTGATGTGCGTATTTTTTCTACCATAAATTACATTAATCTACTGACGCTATGAAACGGTAAGTGTGTGTCCAAGTGATCAAGTTAACTTTATTTTAAAATTGTTAAGCCCCCCTGAAAATGAGCGCACATATTGTTTACATTGCGACCGGTCTAACTTGGGAACTTTGGGAGTACCAATATGGCAGCAGGTGGCCGTACTATCAACAGGCTATCAGCAATCCAGTGAATAAATAGAGATCAGTGTTCTGACCACTACTTTAAATACTGATGTTACTAATGTCCTTTTGATGGAAACCGTCTGTTTTTTCCACTCCTGTCTGCAGAGGAAGACCAGAGTAGGGCTGAACAATCGAACTTACATGTTAGAAGTGTTCCCCGGTGTCTCCTTTGAACTGACCATGACGTTAGAAATGATATTGACGACTGACTCGGCCACCGTGGTGTTAATCTTGGCCACACTCACCAGCTCATGCACCTTCGTCACAACCTGGGAAACCTGCAAGTACAGAACATAAACGACGACAGCTGGTTGATGTTTTTGTTTACTGGGAGAAGTTTAAGCCTGAAGGTTGTTGGGTCCCACCTCCTCGCTGGTCAGGTTGTTCTTGGTGAGGTCGGCCAGCTGTTCCGCCACACCGGCTGCATTATCTGCGCACAAAGATGGACTTTAAGCGTTCGTTTGGGCAGCTTTCATTTCATCCAAAATTATCTCCGTTTCATTATACCTGACCAAATCTAACTTAATTAATAAAGTTAAGCATAATTAATAAAACAGCTTAAAGGACACATATATTACTAAAATAAAAATATATTCTGTATTTCATTCTTCACTCAGTTTTAAAGATGAAGATAATTGACCATAAATAATTTTCCTATTAACATTTTAAAATAACTAATTAAAAAATGAATAGACCAGAAAAAGGTTATCTTAATTTAAATCTCAAAAGTGAATTCTTATTTTACTAGAGCTTGAATTAACAATAAATCAGGGAACATTTTTATAATGAATCTTTGAATTCACATTATTTTAAGATGAAAATTATCTGGATTTGATCAAATTTAGACCTCAGATGACTTCTTCTAAATATAACGCATGCCAAAATAAATAATTGATCCAAATGAGCAAGAATTAAGCAATATAATAATAAAATAATCCTAAATAATTTTAACTTCTTAAAAATTAATCTCCTTGTACTCAAATACTAAATTAAGATTTAGGTCAATAAAAATAGAAATTTAGCACAAAAAAAATTAACCAGATAAATTATACACACAACTATTATGTGGATTAATTTAAGCAATTTATCTTAAATTTATTTTAATAATAACTCAATTTAAAATTAAGTTCAGATTATTAAAGTAAAAAAACCTAATCATAATTTTAATCACTATTAATGTTACCAAACAAACCTAAATAAAAGCTTTTTATTTTTTTTTAGCTTTTGGAAATGTCATGAGAGCTGCACAAAATGAAATATCGTTTTGTGCACAATCTGTGTATATAAAGTGACGATATAAGTTGTCCAAGTCGTTTACTGATCAAACTATCTCAGTAAAACAAAGCAATTTGGTTTGATTTAGGAGGGTGTTAAATAATTTTAATCTAAAATAATCTGAAAATAACTTCTGGTTTTAAACTCTTCAAAGACTTTTAGATTAAGATCATGTTAAAATGTGAAGATTAAATAACCAAAACCATACTATAAAAACACAATCAATCAATAAAAATCTATTTAATTTAATCTTAACTCTCTTAATCACTAACTTGTTTCTTGTTGCTCCAAGATAACCCAGGTTATCTTAATTCAGATCATTTGCTTAAACAGAATTTACATTTAATTAATAAATAAAAAATTGTGTAAGGTTGCTAAACTTTAGGAAATTTAGAATTAAAATATTTTTTTATCTTGAATGGTGAATATAACTTAATCATTGAGGTAATTTTTTCCTCTTTGTAAACTAATTATGACTAAATGTACGGAAGAAATCAGTTAACTTTTTTTATTTTTTCAGTGGCCCTAATCCTCTTCCGTACAAATGGGTACTTTATTATCAGAATTATAACTTTAATCTCAGAATTCTGACTGTTTTCTCAGAATTCTGACTTTTTTCTCAAAATTCTGACTTTTTTCTCAAAATTCTGACTTTATTTATTGTCAGAATACAGTCATAATTCTGAGATTAAAGTCATAATTCTGAGATTAAAGTCAGAATTCTGAGATTAAAGTCAGAATTCTGAGAAAAACAGTCAGAATTCAGACTTTTTCCCCATATTAAACTGAAATAAAATGTAAAAATCAGTTAACTTTTTTTTTTTTTCAGTGGCCCTAATCCTCTTCCGTACAAATGGGTATAATTCATGCAAGTAAAAATTATGTATTTCCCATAAATCTAAAATTGAACTTATATCTATATTTTGTTTAAAAAGAAATCAAATTAAATCTAAATTTACATTTAAGTCATTTTCAGTAGCCTATATTAATCCAGAAGAAAGGTAAATATACCTTATAAAATAACTTTTTTAAATTACTTTAAATGATCCCAAATTGATGATGAATTTTAACCAATTTCAATTTATATCCATGTTATTCAAATTAACTCAAAGAAACCGGATCTTTGATTTGAGGAAATTTAATTTAAAATCCAACTGCTGAAATCCCAAATAATTCAAGCACATATTTAAATATATTTATTTTTAGTCTGGCTGTATGAGAACCTGGGATTACCTGCAGTAACCGTGCAGTTAGTCAGGTTTGCAGTCGACCAGTAGGAGGCAAAGGTTTCCGGGTTTATTAAACTGGGAAAAGAGACATAGAATGAACAAGTGATGGTTTATAATCAAAAACAAAAAAATCTGAATATTTTATAGAATTGCTAAGATAATAGATTTTTCCAAAATCAGTCACTAAAAGTAGCCTAAAAATAAGCTTTAATCTTCTAGCTTTCCTTTGGTTTATTTCTATGCCGATTTTCCTCTTTTACTGTTGTATTTATTTACAAAAAATTTATACTCAACTATTTTTTTGAAAAAGTGGGAGAGTAAAAAATCTGCAGGTATAATTAAACCTCCTGAAGATGGACGCTAGCTACCTCAATGGGCGTGTATCCCTTTAGTCATGTACAAAAAAAAGACTATTTAAGGTGAGATTGCCATATGCTTCAAAAAACACCAAACAGTAGGAATTAAATAGCTTTTTG